AACGATGCCTTAAAGGAAACTTCCACGGAACAGAAAGAGTGATCATTTTGTATCTTGTATGCTATAGGATTAGTATTATGTTCTTTTGCTATGCTCATGAGGCTAGGGGCCTAAGGTATCGTTTTTCTGTGGTAATGGGGGCGGAGCTTTTTCCGTGGAAGATTCCTTTAAGCGAAAAAAAATCGTAGGGACGGGATCTGCTAATTCACATATACGTTCAGCCTTCGTCTTTCAGAACCGCTCGAGGGATTCTAAGGCGCTCTTCTCCTACCACTATTGAAAATCAACTACAAGACTGTTAATTAAAGATTTCATTCTTTAGAGTGTCTCTGTCCACACAAAGGAGTGAAATCCATGTTGATGCAGGGAAACGTTGGAATGGACGTTCCAGGACATTGCACAGTTGTCAACTGTGAATGGGTCATTCCACAAACGGTCAGACCCACTAGTAAAATTCAAATGATTTGTTTGAATAGAATTCCAAATTTGGATGACTGCTTTTCAGAAATTTGCAACTGTGTTCAATTTCACCAGCGATTACGATCGATTCAAAGTGACCACAGGAAACGATATTAAAGGGTATTCCTTAAATATCACTATAAGGCTGAATGGTTTCAGGAATATTTGTGGCACTTGTCTCATGTGAATTTAATATTCCAGATATATAAATGGAGAATATTTCTTGCTCTCTTAAAAAATGTTATTGTAATAGTGAGTTTCCAAGCTCCTCTTTCACCAGGTCGACATCAAACGCCACTAGGAATGTAAACTTAAAAGGATAAAAGGGCGGAAGTGGTGTAGTGGCAAGTGGCACGCTTACCACGCGAGCGGTCCGGGGATCAAATCCTGGGTCGCCCGGGCCAACCAAGCCTTCCATCCCTCCGGGGTCGGTTAATTGGTACCAGACTTGTCTGGGAGGATAAAAACACTGACTTGTACATCGGCTGGCCCCCGCAAGTCATTGTATAGGCCACATCGCATTCAAACGCCACTACGAATGTACAAATGGAAGTAGAATGCGTGCCGCATCCCAAAAGGGATTGATCAACGGCAAATGCTTTATCCTTTATCCTTTATCGGACAACAGTTTTGTTCCCCGTTAACCCACGGAACCAAACCTACAAGGTAACAGCGACCATCCAAAGCTTCATATTTGAACCAGATCACCCGCTCCTGCTACTGCAGGATATGTTTTTTTTAGATGTTTTTTGAATTTCAATTTCAAAAAAATCAAAACTTTTCAACCAGCGATATGATCACCGCTCTTATCTGTAACGTTAATCCAGGGAGCCTTCTGAGAAAAGGTGATGATGAGTTCTCAAAATTCTCATGCAAACGGCTACGTTCAGATACGACGCAAAGAAGGGAATCTCATCGAAAACCCAATGGCGAAGACCCGGAAATTCTCCAGCAACTAAGATTTGGTACAGACGCGTAGTTCCTGTTGAGGTTGTATCCGAGCTGCAGCCAGTTTCGTTTTCTGTGACATGGATGCCCAAGGACGGTAAGAGACTTATCGCCAGATAAGTTGCCAGTATTGCGAGATTTATCGCGCAGATGGGATTTGCGCAAATCTATTCTTTTTCAGCTTGTTCATGCGAAAATATATTGGAACGTAATGCCATCGCCGGTAGGTGGAAGGAGTTGACGTCACCAGATTATCCGCTGCCCTACTGTAACAACATGCACTGCACCACGATGGTCACAGCTCCAGCTAGGTGAAGTTATCAAGAGAATCTGCAAGCAGTTGCTCATTTTTAATGGAGAACCATCAAAGGACGGCTAGCACTCACGGCTCAATCCCTCTGGGATGCATGCATGCATCTGTTTGAGTTCCGAAAAGTGAATGCATGAAAATTTCCCAATAGATCGCGGTTAATGAAAGCTGCACCTTTGCCATGTCTTACAGTGGCTCCATACTCTAGCTTCGTAGTCGATAGAAATGAAGCTCAGACAAGGGTTGGACCATTAGGTTTCAGAGTGATTGGAAACTTGCGAAAAGTTCACATAATGATATTTAGTAAACAACTTACCTAGCCACTGAGCTGCATATGCTATGAGCAGTTCCTCACCCTTCCCTCACCCCTCTTATGACGAGGAACAAATGGCTCCGTGGATTCGAAAAACCGCTATTTTAAAAAGATAGGGCGTTTGACCCATTTATGTAGCCAGCCTACTATTTGCCATTTTTTTGAGAGGAGTTCGAAGAAATGGTGTGGTTGCTGATGAAGAGCTGCTTGCATTTATAGATAAGAAATAATGCTGAATTGGATTGAAGCCTACTCAGGTCAAGGTTAAGATCAAAACGCGATCATAGTTGTGGCCTAGTTGGTTTCCGTAGCTACAATCAAGGCTGGCGCTGTGGGTCGGCGTCATTAGGGCTGAAGCCTTGGATATTCAAAGGGTTAGGGGCAATCCGATGGGCTAAGCTGAAGCGAGATATTACGATAAAGTGTGTGCAGCAAGGAAGTACATGCACCAGTGGAAGCAGTAGTCAGGGGCCTAAGGAAGCGAGATGTGGCCTTTTTGTGGCCAAAGGTGCGCTAGTTGCAGCGCCCTGGGGCTGCCAATCCTTTCTGAGCTCCGCCACCGCCTGTGCTCCGCCCACCAGTGTGTTGCCAGCTGTATCATCGTTCGATTATCATTTTGATAAGGTATTCCACTTCGAGCGCGTATCCTACAACTTTTTGGAATGCGTTATCAATCAAGGCCCGGCCTTAGCTAGTATTATGATGGATATGATTTTACACATTACATTTTTTGCCAACGATGGTTGGTCACTAGCTTTGGAGGTCAACGGGCAAAGGAAGAGGTCCCAATGGCGCGTTCTTAACGGAAGTCCTCGCTTTTTTCGCTGCTGGGCATTACTCAGCATCTCTGCTTTCACTATGAATCCATTGCAATCTTATCGTGATCCCTCGCTTTAATTGGTTTTCAAATAGGAAGCTAATATGCTGTTGGAATTGCAGTGCGTTAAAGGAGCAGGCGTCCACGGATTATCCTCAGTAGAAGGAAAGGATACCTGCGAGGGGACTTGCGGGCTTATGGAGAGCAATGCCACGCCAGTACAAACAACGTGCGGTTAAGGGGCGCTAATCGTTAAGGGGCTGCAACATTAGCCTCAGTCAACGCTTTCCCAACCCATCGCGACTATGTGGAGACAGCGCGCTCTTTCAAACGGCATGTGCTCTCGATGGCTTTTGCCTCGCCGCATGCACAACCGACACTTACTTAGAGGGTTAGGACCTAAATGTTATGAAACACAAAGAGGCACCAAAATTTATTCCAAAAGAGTCCCAAAAGTTCACAAATTATTCGAAAAACTCCAAAATTCCAAAAAACTCGAAAAGTTTCAAAAAGAACTCCTTTGAAATCTTCTGCGTTTTTGGAGTTTTCGAATAATTTGTGAACTTTTGGGACTCTTTTGGAATAAATTTTGGTGCCTCTCTGTGTTTACAACATTTAGGTCCTGATGAGGCTCCGGGACAGCACAATACTGAGAAAGAGGTCTAAGGCTTCAATGCAACATTTTCTTGGATCCTCTGCTTTCTTTCACTTTAGGTTCATTGGAGCTCATCCGTCACTGTGGGTGCCGCTCTATACTCCGACAGTTTTATGGCTTTCTTTCAAAAACCAAAGGAGAAACCCAAAAAACTCACGAAATGGAAATGCCATCATTGAGGTGGTCGAGTTGCCACGATTATGACGCCACTGATTACTCGAACTGATCCTTCTGTTGCTGCAAAAGATAGACCGTGGATGGCTTAAGTTGCACTTGCATTTTGCACCGTTATATCGTGATGGAGCGAAGAGTTAGATGAGGTGAAAACAGGTTGACCTTGTCATGTCGCTGCAAGCGTACTCTGAGCAGCGAAAACAACCACGCTTCTTTTCTACTAAGTGATAATCTATGACTTGCGATGCCAACATCTCATCGTACGGCTGTTGAGGACGAATTTTACGATGAAAGGTGCTCACATACAAAATAGTAGGTAGGGTGAGGCAAGTGCAGGAATGAAGAAAAGCCATGAGAAACGGTTTAGATTCGAGAAATGGGACCCTCCCTTGCCCACTGAATTCTGCATTGGTGCCAGTCTCAGCAGTGCTGCTCTCCTTAATACTAATTCTACTAAACGGCTAGAGAGTCAGGTTGCGAGAGGGGGCGTACCGCGCCGATAGTGCCGCGGGAAAGGCCGCGCTAGATCGCTAGGAGCATGTTCTTTGCGAATGGCTTGTCGGATGCGCGCCCTTAGGAGGTCCGTCTGTCCCTCCACAAGGTTAGTTTCCCTTCCAACAATGAATAATATATAACTCGTGCAGGCATCAACGTAGGTTGAACATCACCGACTTCTACACGGAATCGCACAGCGATTTCTTGGCACTATATGATGGTCGTGACATTAGTGAAGAACCCATGGCAGTGTGAGTCACAAGAAACAGTTGGATTCTCCATTAAGAAGCGTGGTAACAGCGTTCTCTACTCCCCAATATTGCCTCTGGGAGCCATATTCATTCGGAAAAATAGGGGAGCGGGATCATCAGTGGGGTTTTGCCTTTGCCTTACAGTTGTAACAAATTCCCAACCGAACAAACTTTACCGGAGGTGGAGAATCGGTCTTCTCGATAGCTATGCACCTGCAGTAGGGCACAAAGTTAAATCCCCATTCGAATAATCCTAGCAAGGTCGTATTGTGTTGAATTCCATAGGAAGTGGTGATTTTGACGATCATACGGGATCAGAATACCCCTAGGAGGGCAGAGGGGTCGCAATTTCAAACCGACCAAACGCGATGGTTGACCCTGATAGGGCGCCTGGCACAGATTGAGACGTTCTCCACTGGTTTTTTTTTGTAATAGCTAATTCTTTCAATTTTAAAGGTTTTCTGGGAGAAAGGTGTTTCCTGAGTTGATTCGAAGCACCAATGAAGCGCTTTCGCTGGTTTTCAAAACGGACCACGCCGTCTCCTACAGGGGTTATCGCCTCCTTTATTCTGCTGGTACGTTCAAAAATATCTCTGTTATTGAGAATCCCGGCAATTCTTCTAAATTTTCCCGAATTTGTTTTACATTTGTGAGTAAAACCGATTCTTGACCTTGAGGTCATAAAATCATTCCTTTCTAACTTTGGAGCTATTCCGTACAGCCATCGTACTGGAATAGGAATTGTTTATGAAATCAGCGAATTTAGTATTGCTCCTATTCTCCTCCTTTCCGCTACGTACTATCCTTTTAAAAGTGGCTCATAGCTAAACGCCCACCTTTTCAGCACCCTTTCGTCCCTTTCTCGCAGCCTCTCGTAGCACTTATCATTAATACCTCAATACCTCTGATTACCTCTGATTTTTCCTAGAATTGAAATGATCCATTTGAGGGGTAATGGAAAGATACGGGGCATCCTCCAAAGTGGGCTAATAAGGGGGGGGCAGAAACTTTGGAGAAAATAAAAATTGTTGAGCACCCTGGAAACCTCTCCTCCCCATCCAAAGCTCAGTCCGGAATTTAAAAAACGAGATGTTCTACGAGGTTTTACATGCATTGCCACCACAATGCCCCCTATCTTGCGCTAGCCCATTCTACTTTTCCTATTTTTCCTCCATTTTTTCCTTTTTTTCATGTTTATGACCACGTACAACGGGAAGGGAAGTTAGAAGACGTGGTTGGTCATCAAGCCCGCTTTGTTCAGATGAAGCTCGGCCATAAGTGGTTTGGTTGGACCATTTGTAAAGGAACCGAATTCTACAGCTCTACCCGTCCGCCATTGAAAGGCCGATGTCAGACTTTGCGAATCGATCGATTCGCTAGCGTCTGCGGTCGCGTCGCGGCCAGTGAATCACTCAATTGGCTGGTACCGCAACGCGACCGCGGACGCTAGCGAATCGCTCGATTCGCAAAGTCTGACATCGGCCAAAGGGGGACCTCTTGTGAGAGCGACACGTCCGAAGATAAGCACGGGCACTTTGAAACAGTCACGTTAAAGGCAAAGTTCGGGCTCAGACCCACTTAATAAGCCCTTATAGTGGCCAGATGTG